TTTGTCAAGAATAATATTTATTGTTACTCAGCAGTTCTCAATGAGATGGTTGGTTACATACCCAACATAACTGTGCCGTTAATGTCTACTAAAACACTATTTCACTGACAGTATGACGTACTACGGGCACTGCTGAACATCCTGTAGCCTGTTCTTGTTCCCAGTTAGTATAATAACAAAACATTCATGAGCAACTCGTGTTATTCTGGTGACAAGCCAAATAGTGACTCGTGCCCCTCTCATAGCCATTTTTGCGACTGGGTTCCGCCTTAGCGCAAACAAGCATACCTAAAACAATTGTCAACTCGTTGCGTTATGGTTCACATATATTTCCCCATATGTTATATATATTTCAGATGCAATTTAAAGCACATCGGGACTTGCGGAATAATACAGTATGATTGAACACATTTAACTGTGTCTTGGGTATATTTTCAGGTGCAAGACATATGTAAAATCAAGAATTATTTCTTAGGGATTATTTGACAAAGAACTCGAAATCATACGCGCATTCTGATTGGTTTGTTGTATTTTCGCACATAACATTCATCGATAGGGGGACGAGTCTTCTTGCAGGTTACGGAAAGGGGCGAGTGGTGACGAATGATAACAAAAGTGTGAGATTTAGTCACGGTAGAGTGACGTGTTAGTGAGTGACAACTGTCCTCCTCCACAGATTCTGGCACTGAGTACAGCCCAGTCTTAAATGTTAAAGGGTACATGGAACATTACGAGATGTGTGACCCAAAAAGCATTCTTGATCAATATCCACCATCTTTTCTTCTACACATTTTGACTTAAGTCTACTCAAGGGCAGTTTCAGGACTTAAGATGAAGTATTATCTTACACTTAATATATTCTCATAGATTGCGCTTTGTGATCCAAGATTTAAGACAAAATTTGGTCTGAAGAGTGAACATTTACTATACATATAGGTAGAACTTGATCATATTAAAATGTATTGATCCTTTGCATGCACATTGATGAAGAACGGGACATGATTGTACTAAGGCAGCATCTGTTACAGCGTACATGATGGAACTGTGTGGCAGCAAAAGTCTGCTGTCTTAGGTGAGGTGAAATTGGGTTTAACGTCGCATCCAAGATTATTGCACTTATATAGCGACGTGCATGCACGTGTATGTGTGTGTGTGGCTGCTTGTACTAGTCCGGACTGATGCCGATTTATAGTGCTAGCTCACTGAGATACCATGCCGCAGTTTAACATGAATACCCCACTCAGACACAGTATACTGACTCCGAGCCGACCAGTCCTTGTTTTAGCCCCTTAATGCCGAGCGCCAGACAGGGTAACAACAAGTACAATCTTTTAACGTCTTTTTGTATGACGCGGCCCGGGATCGAACCCTGGACCTTCCGCTCTCCGGGCGGACGCTCTACCACAAGAACTGCTGTCTTAACACTGTACAAGGAGCAAGTAAGTTCTGGTCACAAGTTAGTACTCACAATTAACCAATGGATGTGTTTGTCAGTGTGTGTCAGTGTGTGTCAGTGTGTGTCAGTGTCAGTGAATATGTGTGTGTCAGTGTCAGTGAATATGTGTCAATGTCAGTCAGTGTGTGTGCCAGTGAGTGTTTGTGTCAGTGTGTGTCTGTGTCAGTGTGTGTCTGTGTCAGTGTGTGTCTATGTCTGTGTGTGTGTGTCTGTGTCAGTGTGTCAGTGTGTGTCTGTGTGTGTGTCAGTGTCTGTGTCAGTGTGTCTGTGTGTGTCTGTGTCAGTGTGTGTCAGTGTCTGTCTGTGTGTCAGTGTCTGTCTGTGTGTGTGTCAGTGTGTGTGTGTCTCAGTGTATGTGAGGTAGGTATTTCACTGCCTCGATACAGAACACAAGGAAACAAACACATTGATTTCAGACATCCAGTATGTCCAGAGATCAAATTAATTGTTTCCATTATAAAACCTACCCAAAAATAACATTCCATTCCCCATTCGTTCCCATATTGTTTTCCACCACCACTTACATTAAAATCATAGACACCTTTGTATTAATTTGGACTCATAAACCCTTTCTGTAAATGCCACAGCCATGAAGTGGAACACATGTCCCCAGTCTCCATGGTAGCACAAGTGAGAATCGGTCTTATCTATGAGTTAACCATTGATAAGTCCGACTTGTGCATTGTAACTCTGGCTATTGTTCTCTAACAGTCTGACCCATTTCCTGACCGAGGTTGATGACCAGCTAGTCCAAGCGTTCTTATCTTGTGATGACCCACACTAAGATGACCCTCACCCTCGAATGATCCGGATGTCAGCACACGGCTTGCAGTTAGACTTGTGTTACACAAAAGTAACTGGCACTGGTTAATGGTTATATAGTCTGATCATGTTGATGACATGGAGTTATTCTGGTGAGTGAGTGAGTGAGTGAGCTTTTAACATTATTCCAGTTATATCACAGCGTGTCAGCTTGATGTGGGAGGAAAGCCCGAAGTGATGCAGGTCTCAGACGTTTACCACTTTTGTGAAACCCAAGAGCATGGGTATGGTGCTGACAAACCTAGAAACATAATCGGGGCGAACCGGGATTTGAGCCCACAATCATAGGTTTCTGGCGTGCCCAAGGGACGCAACTCTGCACAGCAAATTGCGGCACCTTAGACGACTGGGCCACCCGTGACCCCGGAGGGATTCTGGGTCAGATTTGGTCCACAGTACCTGCTGTCTGTCTTGTTTGTTTGCTGTTTGACGCTGCACTCAGCAATATGCCAGGTATATGGTGCCCACCAGTAAATAATCAAGCCTGGATGCTCATGACGTAAATCACTGGATTGTCGAGTCCATATTTGATTAGCATAGATTATTTTACAAGCTGCCATTTGATATAGCTGGAAGATTGTGAAAGTGATTCTTTAAACAACATTCAATTCATGCTACTGCATAACATTTAAATTTCACAACGGCTAAGTCAGTGATTTATCTAAGATTTCAAAATCTTAATGCGCTGGCAGCAAAATTGGGACAAAACAAATTGTGTTCAAAGTCGGACCTTTTTTTAAAATGTTAAAATATACAACAGAAGTGTGAGAGTTAAGATGCCGTCCTCGACTACTGTTTGTATCACTATTAAGAATCAACACTGGATTTAACATAAGAAATTGAAATCAACCCTAACAATATTTTACTTTCAACACTGCCGCCTACATGTCCTACATTTAGGAGATAAAAATACCATGCATACTGTGTTTTCAATGTAGAGCTAGGTCACTTGTAGATTTAACCGTGCTAAATTTAATTTGGGACCGAAAGAGCAGCAATATTAGCTGTGACGTGGCCTTCAAATCAGCAGTTTCAATCAGAGGGGGTTTATTGTGATTTGACCTCTGATTGACCAATCAGAAGCGCAAAATTTCCAAATTTATGGTAGAATTTAGCATTTAAACCAAGAATGTCGATTAAATAGAAACCAATGGTTTGGCACGACAGAAATGCAACAAATTAGTATGATGATCATATTTCATCAGAAACAAAATACGAAGAATGATAAAAACCCTTTGAAGCTCAACATGAACAAAGCAGCTGTTCTCTGCAATAAGTTTTGAAGCTTATTACCAAGAATAGATCAATATTATTATTAATACATTTGAAACAAAAACACAGTCACAAAGCTCTGCAGCTTGCCTGAATTATGAACAAACAATAGTGGTCTTGTTTAAAATTGAGACAGAATTTTGAGAGCATTTTTTAAAGATACCATAGCTGATAGCTGGGATCATTTGTCATGTTTGTAAATAATCAAGTCTGGACCAGACAACCTAGTGATCGATATTGTGAGCATCAATCTGTGTTGTCGTGGTATGATGACACACGATCAAGCAAGTCACCAAGCCTGACCACCAGATTCATATATGTCACCTCATACGACCAGCATAGCTTTCCCCATGGAAAGTGTTATTTACCCACAGTTTCCACGGGGCTTGTAAATAACAAGTCCAGACTAGACAACCCAGAGCTACAGTCCATATGACGACACACAATGAACATAGGATCCGATACCATATAAATCAGCTCATACAGCAATGGGAATAGTGGCTGTGTGCTTTAAGGTGCTTTATTGGTGCTTGAATACATTTTGCGTGAATAGGTTTGGGCGCAGTACATGAATAGGTTTGGGAACAGAACTTGAATAGGTTTGGAACCAGAGTTTGAATGGGTTTGGGAACAGAGCTTGATATGGGAAAAGAGCTTGAATGGGTTTGAGCCCAGTACATGAATAGGTTTGAAAACAGAGCATGAATAGATTTGGGAACAGAGCTTCAATAGGTTTGGGAACAGAGCTTGAAAGGGTTTGAGCGCAGTACATGAATAGGTTTGGGAACAGAGCTTCAATAGGTTTGGGAACAGAGCTTGAATAGGTTTGGGAACAGAGCTTGAATACGTTTGAGCGCAGTACATGAATAGGTTTGGGAACAGAGCTTGAATGGGTTTGGGAACAAAGCTTGAATGGGTTTGGGAACAGAGCTTGAATAGGTTTGAGAACACAGCTTGAATAGGTTTGGGAACCGAGCTTCAATAGGTTTGGGAACAGGGCTTCAATAGGTTTGGGAACAGATTGAATAGGTTTGAGCGCAGTACATGAATAGGTTTGGGAACAGCTTGAATAGGTTCGGGAACAGAGCTTGAATAGATTTGGGAACAGAGCTTGAATAGGTTTGGGAACAGAGCTTGAAAGGGTTTGGGTGCAGTACATGAAAAGGTTTGGGAACAGAGCTTGAATAGGTTTGGGAACAGAGCTTGAATAGGTTTGGGAATAGAGCTTGAAAGGGTTTGGGAACAGAGATTGAATGGGTTTGAGCGCAGTACATGAATAGGTTTGGGAACAGAGCTTGAATGGGTTTAGGAACAGAGCTTGAATAGGTGTTGGAATAGAGCTTGAATGGATCTGGGAACAGGCTGTGAATAGGTGCTTGAACAGATTTGGATGCAGTGCTTCAAAAGGTCAAGGAACTAATGCCATTTGTGCAGGAAACACAAGATCTACCGTGTCATGTCTTTGTAGAGCCGCACACAGGCAAGAACGACCTGTCCGTAGGTAGGATTTCAGTAGACGAGCACACACGAAGTCACATGACCAGGGTCAAAGTTCGGTCATGCCCAGTGCAGCAGACCTGGAGCTTTGTAACAAAATCACTGCCCACTTGAGATGGTGGACTTTGAAACTCAATACAACCCTCCACAGATATCCGATGTAATAGTGAAATACTCATTCACAATCAGACATGGACTCACAGCACATCAGCATCTTTGCACATAACACACAAGTGCGTATTATACACGAATAAATAAGTCTTGTGTACGTTGATCATTCGGAAGGGGTGCTAATTGGGATTGTTTACAAGCAAATATATTAGCAAATATTGCCGTGGGTGCTACGGCAAGTCTGAAAATGGGACTGTGCAGAATCCTAATAATGCCAATGTTGGATGCCATGTATCTCAGTGATAAACATAAATTGAAACTTGTGAATTGTACTTTTGTGTTCCTAAGATACAGTAGTCTTGAAATACAATGACAAGTCAAATTGTGATTTTTCACCAATAAGGTCCCTACCGTCAACATGGTCAAAGTTGGTCACACACATATACAGTCTGCTAACTTCAGCCATTTACGTGAAGCCTGAGTAACCTATTGTTTGGTCTGGTAACCTCAGCTAACAGCGTTAGAAATTGGCACTAGTCCTATAGTCCTTGCCAAACCGCCCAATGGTAAAGGTATCATAAGGACTATTAGAAATTTGCCCTTTTTAAGGGTTTTGCTATATGTTATCATTATAAGGACTAGTGGACGAAAACTGTTAGTTTCTAATGCTGGCTAACAATATTTCGTGTAACACTATATACTAAGAGCCAAGTTCGTACTAGTAGATTCAAAATATTTTGTATATATTGTTTTTACATGTAATATAATCTCATAAAATCTAGATATTTATTGTATTTGTATACTTATCCTGCATTTATTCTTAATGCATACCTGCTTACCTTTGACCAACAGTGATATGAATTAAAGCCGACCAGTCCTTGTTTTAGCCCCATAATGCAGAGCGCCAGACAGGATAACAAGTACCACCTTTTATTTTTGGGGGGTATGACGAGGCTGGGGATCAACCCCGGACCTTCCTCTCTCTGAGGGAACGCTCTACAACTTGACCATGGAGGCTGTCGGATAAGTAAATATATATGTGTGTGTGTGTGTGCGTGTGTGCGTATGTGTTATTGCGTGTGCGTGTGAGTGAGTGTGCATAAAAAGGCAGGCAAAGGCATGACTAATACTGCATGTGGGCTATATTTGCAACCTCGGACTATCATGTTTATCCTTTATGGCGGAATCTGACAAAATGACAACAACAGGAGCAAAAGGTGGGTCAGTATATGAACAAGCCATGTTTGACACATATGGTCTCTGTCAGGACTTACAATGAATGAGGTCAACTAGAACTGTCAGTTAAGTTCAGAGGCTTGTCCCAACTGTGTAATCGCAATGACATCACACTGATAAACTCGGAAGTGCGCAGATATGGGCCAGATGATAACTGGGATATGTTATCATGGTCATAGAGAGATATCAGATGTATATCATGGTATATGATAACAGTCTGATAACCACTGCTGACAAGAACCAAGCTTTAAATCTGGCTTTCCAATTTTTTAAGGTGTAAAGTTTCCTAATGTGATGTTTTTCATCACCAGTTCACAGCAAACAATACGGAACGTGATATCAAAAAAATCTAAATGATACAAAGAAATGAAGGGGTGGGGGTGGAGGGGTGTGGGGATGTATTGCTATCAATAAGTATCATGATAACATGGTGATTTGGTTGTTAAAGTAAAATTGATAATGGTTTCCATATAACGATTATGACCCCTCCCAGACACACAAAGTTAAAATGTCCCTAGATGTTCCTAGTGACCCCCCCCCCCCCTCCTCGATCCGTTCCTGAAACAGCTCACCAGATGTTTTTATTATATATTTGAAAAACTAGTATCATAAACACGATAAGATATAAGATTCAAGACTGATTCCAGATTAGATAAATGTCCTACACAAACATGATCAAAGTAGAAGGGTTAATATATATTAAAAAATCATGATAACAAATATTCCATATACATGATAGCCCTAATATTCACTTATTGAGTGTCAAATTCTAAGCATGATGGCTGTCATACGTTTATGCAACATGGTGAGACAAGGTGAAATGGGGCTTAACATCGCATTCAAGATCATGGCTGTTTGTATTTAGTCCTGACTATTAAATGCTGAGTTTATAGTGCTAGCCCACTGAGATACCATGCCGCAGTTTAACATGAATACCCCACTCGACACAGCATACTGACTACAAGCCAACCTGTCCTTGTTTTAGCCCCTTAATGCCAAGCGCAAGGCAGGGTAACAACAAATACCATGTTTTAATGTCTTTTGGTTTGATATGGCCAGGGATTGAACCCCGACCCTCCGCTCTCCGGACAGATGCTCCAACACAAGACAACAGGGGGGGGTCCTTGCAACATTTGTTTTAAGTGTGGGACTTAAGCCAATTGTAATGCTGAGGCCCAGGGAACTTAAACATTATTTACATTACCAACTGATTTGTGAACAAACCTGTCATCTTTTCAACATATTCTCACCAGGAAGCATTAAATTTGTTGAACAGAATAGTGGATTTGCAACAGAAAGAAGAGCTTCCCACTTCCTTACGAATTTGTGTTTAAACCCAAATATATGACAAAACCGTATTCATTGTATGAAAGACCCTGCTTCAAATGCCACTGATCAAATCATAGACCTATCTCAGATAGTATCTGCAAGTAATCTCCGTAAGTGGCCCCTTCTAAGCCTGATTGTTCAAAACAGTCCACATTTTCATAATAATAATAATTTGTTTGTTGTTTAAAGCCGCACCCAGCAATATTCAAGCTACATAACGGCGGTCTGAAAAATAATCGAGTCTGGGCCAGACAAACCAGTGATTGACATCATGAGCATCGATCCACGCAATTGGGATACGATGACATGCATCAACCTAGTCAGAAAGCCTGACCACCCGATCCCGTTAGTCACCTTTTATGACAAGCATGGGATGCTGAAGACCAATTCTATCCCCAGATCTTCACGGGTCCTTGGTACAAGTAGTCGTCGTTTGGGACAAGTAGCCATGAACCTGGACTTGGGGACAAGTTTGTTCTTGTTTAATGACTCACTTTGGGACAAGCAGTCTCTACAGCGAGCCTGACCACCCGATCCACTTAGTCGCTTCTTATGACCAGCTGACAAGCATAGTCGCATTTTATGGCAAGCATGGGTTGCTGAAGACCCATCCTACCCTGGATCTTCAAGGGTCAATAATAATAATAATAATAATAATAATAATAATAATAAAAGTGAGTGAGTATGGTTTTACACCGCTTTTAGCAATATTCCAGCAATATCACGGCAGGGGACACCAGAAATGGGCTTCACACATTGTACCCATGTCGGGAATCGAACCCGGGTCTTCGGCGTGACGAGCGAACGCTTTAACCACTAGGCTACCCGACCGCCCCAATATAATAATAATAAAAAATATAAAAAAAGTCCTCAGTGGCGCTATTACAAGGGAGGGCAAGGGGAGTAAACAAGTGTAAAAGAGGTTTAGTTTCTAAGGCACATGGGCTCCTGGAAAGTAATGAGTCTTCAACAGTTGTCCAGCTGATTTAATGGAGAGGGGAAAAGTTCCAGAGGTTGAGGCTGGAACCAGTGTTAATAATCTAAAAACCAAACAAGACAGACGGACAGTGACTCATAAATGTTGCCTGTCCATCATCAAAGTTACTCATCGCATTCAGATATTATGAATATTGAAAAATCACAAAAATATGAGATAAATCGCATGTTGATTCAGTTAAAAATGATGCAAACAATTACTCAAGAATATAAGAGGAGTAATAAAATAGAATACATAAGTAGTCTGAATATTATCTGACAGACTGTCAGGCTCTGTTGGTTTATGCAGCCTAACAGAAAAGTTACCAGCCACGGACATTGGCTGTAGTGTGAGTGAGTGAGTTGGGTTAAACGCCGCTTTTAACATTATTCCAGTTATATCACGGCGTGTCAGCTTATTGTGGGAGGAAAGCCCAAAGTGATGCAGGTCTCAGACGTTACCACTTCAGTGAAACCCATGAGCACGGGTATGGTGCTGACAAACCTAGAAACAAAATCGGGGCGAACCGGGATTCAAACCCACAATCATAGGTTTCTGGCGTGCCCAAGGGACGTAACTCTGCACAGTGAATCACGGCGCCTTAGACGACTGGGCCACCCGTGCCCCCTGACACTGGCTGTAAGTGTAACAGAAAAGGATCTATGTTTCAGATGAGTTCTTGTCTCTGGAACCCGCAAATTAATCTATAAGCTGAACAGAGAGTGCAACTCGGCTTGAGCATGTTGAGTATTGACCATGTTGACAGTAGGCTCTTCATGTAATTTGGATAGTCAGACTCTTCATTGATTTAATGTTTGAATTTTATATTAGTTTGAATTGTGTATACATGGTATAATACACGTGTTACATTTCATACAGCTAGGATACACAAGAAATATTTTCAAATGACATGTGTAAATTGAAATAGAATGATATATCTGAATATCCCTATGAAACAATTATTAATATAGTTTACCCTATTCGACATAATAAGCGCCCCTTCATTCATTCATCAGTGTACACAAAACTTACTTATTCGAGTATAAAATACACTCGTGTGGGCGTCTACGATCATTTTTACTCATCATTAATGTGGAGTTGTGTTATCACAAATAAATAGACATGTAAGTTAATACTTGCAAGTATGCAGGTAGTATTATTTGTAAGAGACATATATATCTAAAGGGGTAAAATACTGAGAGCGATCGTTTTCTGTGTTCGCCAAACCACGAAATTTACAATGTTTCAATTCTGTTTTTTTACACCAAAATTATATTCCAATAAGCACCCCCTATTTCTAATTTTGAGAGAGCCCTGGGCGCTTATTATGTCAAATGCGGTATATAGCTTCAGAAGGCATTGCGAACACAGTACAGCTGGTGTGCTAACATGGAAATGCAA